TTATTACTATTACTAGTTCATTCTCTTTTTTTTTCTTTGTTATTATTCCTTTCCGTTTCCCATCCCCCTTTCCGTTCCTTTTATTTCCTTTATTATTATTATTTATTGCATGTATGCCATTGCAATTAATACATGTATTCCCTTAAATATGCCCCTTTCCATCTTCTACTCCTATTACTCCTATTATTACTACTATAATGATTATTACTTCCTCCTATTATATTGAATACTTTACGTTTATCTTTTTTTATTTTTTTATTTTTTATATTTTAATGTGAAATTGACCTTTTCTTTATTTCTTTCTTCTCTTATGGGACTCTCACATTATACACAATAGCAGCGAGAGGGCGGTGTAGTTGCCGTTCCCTGCCATTCCCCTCCTTTTACACCATTGTATACATACTCATATACTCCTATCTATCTATCTATCTATCTATCTATCTATCTATCTATCTATATATATATATATTTCTATATCTATACAATGGCCCGCCGGTATCTTTATCAATGCCGTAATAGTTTTGAAGACCGCAAGAAGGAATCCACAAGTATACGGCAACGTTATCCACATCACATACCACTTGTCTGTGAACCCGCCCCTGGCAATAACAATCATCCCGGCAACGGCATCTCTTCTTCTTCCTCCTCTTCCTCTTCTTCTCCATGTGCAGTGGTGGATGCCCTTCTTCATCGCCGTAAAGTATTACGGGAATTGGATTACAGTAAGTTTCTTCTCCCAGAGGATGCGTCTATCCAACAACTCCTCGTCCTTCTGCGTAGACGACTGTTATTAGAGTCTGAACAGGCGTTGTTTCTCTTTTTAGATGATAATATGCCGCCAAGCAGTGCCTGCATGGGTGATCTCTACACACAGAAGAAGGACCCGGACGGGTTTCTCTACTTAACATACGGCATAGAAAGTACATTTGGGGGAAACAGAGAGTGGAGGCAGTGAAATGATGATGATGATGAAAAGAGAAAGAAAATAATAATAATAATAATAATAATA